CTGGTACTGGGGAGCCCCCGCCCAGAGGTGAGAGCAGTACTCCATGTGGGGCCGAATTTGCGCTTTATATAGTTGCATGCGGTGGCCCGGAGTGAAGTACCGTCTCGCCTTACTGAGCACACCAAGCTTTTTGGAGGCTAATTTAGCCTTTCCCTCCAAGTGACCGCGAAACTGAACGTCGCTCGATATGTCAACGCCAAGTATTCCAATGCTGGCTGTGGCTTTAAGAAGAGTGTTTTCGAAAAGAGGAGTAGCGACAAAGGGTGTTTTTTTAGCGGAAAACGCGCAAACTTGTGTCTTCTTGGGGTTAAATTGGACTAGGTTTTGTCTGCCCCAATCTGAGACTCCACGAAGTAGAGTTTCAACTTCAGACACAAGTTTGTTCCGGTACTCATCAACAACTGCCCGAGAAATACCTGCCCGGCCAGTGTAAAAAGTATCCCCAGTACTGTCATCCGCATAGCAATGAATGTTGCTAAGTTTCAACATATCATTGATATGCAGAAGAAATAGGGTCGGGGATAGAACACAGCCTTGTGGGACCCCAGCGTTTACGGGTTTTAGGTCGGAACATGCTCCGTCGATGACGACCTTGATGCTCCGATCGGCCAGAAAGCTGGAGATCCAATTGCGTAATTTCTCGGGAAGCCCATAGGCTGGAAGCTTCGAGAGCAGTGCTCTGTGCCACACCCGATCGAAGGCTTTCGCTATGTCCAAACTAACCGCTAGCGCATCCCCCTTGGACTCAATTGCCTCTGCCCATCTATGTGTAAGGTATACAAGAAGGTCACCAGCCGAACGACCACGACGAAAGCCGTACTGATAATCGCTAATCAGCTGGTGGCCCTCTAGATACCTCAAGAGCTGGCAATTAACAATGGATTCCATTATTTTGGAGAACAAGGAGGTTATAGCTATTGGGCGATAGTTGGACGGATCAGAGCGATCGCCTTTTTTAGGGATCGGATGTATCAAAGCGGTCTTCCAGCACTTCGGGACAGTGCCGAGCGAGTACAGGTACCGGAAAAGGCGCGTTAAGACCGGAGCCAACTCAGGAGCACAAGTACGCAGCACAATTGGGGGGATACCATCCGGCCCGCTCGACTTATGAATGTCCAAGGAAGATAGTGCTTTGCGGACAGCACGTTGCCGGAATGTGATTTCCGGCATCGAAGAATCACACCGCGAAATGGTCGGTGGTGATCTCCCTCGGTCATCCAAAGTCGAGTTAGACGCGAAGAGACAGCCCAAAAGGTCAGCCTTCTCCTTCGCAGTGTGGGCCAGAGAGTCATCCTCCCTGTGCAGTGGCGGAATGGCGGGCTGACAAAAATTCCCTTGGACAGCTTTGGCGAGAGACCAGAAGGCTCGAGTCCCTGATGGGAGTTGGGCCAATCTCTCGCCAAATCTGGCAATGTGCTCTGACTTTGCCTTAGTGATTTCCCGTTTGAAGGACCTGGAGGCTGAGTTATATGCTTTTTTAAGTTCGCTGGTATTGGCATCACAAGATTTCGCCGCTTCCGCCCATGCCTTAAAGCATTCTCGCTTTCGACGCGAGGCCGCCTTGCAAGAACGTTTAAACCAGGGCTGAGACTTGCCACCGATCGGCACCGCAGAAAATGGAATAAAGAGTTCCATGCCCTGCAGAACCACTTCGGCGACAGAGGCGGCGACGGAATCTGGAGCTTCCGGCGAAAAGCACATAGGCCCCCAAGGGTAGGACGCAAAGAAAGACCGCATCCCGTCCCAATCTGCTGACTTATAGTGCCAAATACGGCGACAACCCATAAAGCGGGGCCGTGAAGGGCGCGTAGATGGCACAGTACTCCGGACCACACAATGATCTGATGAACCCAATGGCGGGTCAACAGAGACTTGATAGTTCTCCGGATGAGAAGTCAGCAGAAGGTCCAACAAAGAGGGTTTATGACCATCCACATCTGGTATTCGCGTAATCGCAGGGACCATTTGTGTCAGGTCGTAGGCTAAAGCAAAGTCGTGAAAGGATCTTCCCGCGTGATCGGTGGTTTCAGAGCCGAGCCAATCGGCATGGTGGGCGTTAAAATCGCCAAGTATCACGATTTCAGCGGTAGGAACCCTTTCGAGCAGGGAATCTGTAGCCATTTGGATGTGCTCAATGAGTCGGTCAGTTTCGGTATTTCCGCTATGGGACCTATACAGGCATGCGTAGAATCGCGGATGGTCATCGCAGTCTACGCGCAGCCAGAGGTTAGATAGGTCCCTTCCTTCAAGCGTCCCGAGGCGACGAGAACAGATATCCTCTCTGACGTACACGCAAACTCCAGCCCGCGGCACAAATGAATGTTCCAATTTGTACCCCGGGTAGGATATCTGAGTCTCGGTAAGAAAGAGCAAGGCCGGCTTCGCAGTCTCTAGATGATAGTGGACAGCGTTGATGTTAGAATTAAGCCCCCTAACATTTGTGAAGTCCACGGCGAGTGTGGACGGGGGTGCCTTTGTATAATTGCTCCGTTTGCCCCGAGGACGATTACTATTTTTGTAGAGCGCAGAATTGCCCCCCCAGAATACGAAGGGCAGCCTGTGCGTCCACCACCGGGTGCTGAGTGTCCCGGTGGTGGACGCCCAGAGGGGGATTCTCCACCGCGAGCGCGTGTGGTACCCCCCTGGGGTAGATTCTGTTTTTTTCTGCACCTTCATATTTCTTGTGTGGGGGGGATGGGCTCCGGGAATCTCTCTCACCGCACGAAACGCGAGTACAAGAAGGCGAACCTTTTGCATCACTTCACGCCGGTTTTCTGAGAGACAGTGGTACTGCCCCGGTCGTGCCTGCCCATTTGGCTGAAGCCCGAAGGCAACAGCATGGCACTCCCACTAGGAAGGGGTTGACTGATTGCGCTGATGAAATAACCTCTGTCACAGGTTATTTCACCAGTGGGCGATGGGGTCGTCACGTCCCGACGCCTAAAATAATAAAAGAAAATAGATTAAACGAAAGATTATTACATACCAAAACATCATTAATCCGTATGGTGTCACCAAAGTCAGATAAGCACGAAATAGTACCCTTGTTTACAGATTTTATAGTTTCCCCTGCCTTGGCTACACTAATTTACATGTCCAAATCAATTAAGTTAGTGACAATTTTTTAAAACAATTTTGTATAAGATGGCAGCTAGCCCCACTATCGATAACAAAAACAATGTCCGTCAACTGTTCAGAACACAGCGACATTTCTCTGTTTACTTTGGAATTTTCAGAAGTAAAAAATGAAAAATCCTCTTCTGCTGACTTCTCATCCGGAGAACTATCAAGTCTCTGTTGACCCGCCATTGGGTTCATCAGATCATTGTGTGGTCCGGAGTACTGTGCCATCTACGCGCCCTTCACGGCCCCGCTTTATGGGTTGTCGCCGTATTTGGCACTATAAGTCAGCAGATTGGGACGGGATGCGGTCTTTCTTTGCGTCCTACCCTTGGGGGCCTATGTGCTTTTTGCCGGAAGCTCCAGATTCCGTCGCCGCCTCTGTCGCCGAAGTGGTTCTGCAGGGCATGGAACTCTTTATTCCATTTTCTGCGGTGCCGATCGGTGGCAAGTCTCAGCCCTGGTTTAAACGTTCTTGCAAGGCGGCCTCGCGTCGAAAGCGAGAATGCTTTAAGGCATGGGCGGAAGCGGCGAAATCTCGTGATGCCAATACCAGCGAACTTAAAAAAGCATATAACTCAGCCTCCAGGTCCTTCAAACGGGAAATCACTAAGGCAAAGTCAGAGCACATTGCCAGATTTGGCGAGAGATTGGCCCAACTCCCATCAGGGACTCGAGCCTTCTGGTCTCTCGCCAAAGCTGTCCAAGGGAATTTTTGTCAGCCCGCCATTCCGCCACTGCACAGGGAGGATGACTCTCTGGCCCACACTGCGAAGGAGAAGGCTGACCTTTTGGGCTGTCTCTTCGCGTCTAACTCGACTTTGGATGACCGAGGGAGATCACCACCGACCATTTCGCGGTGTGATTCTTCGATGCCGGAAATCACATTCCGGCAACGTGCTGTCCGCAAAGCACTATCTTCCTTGGACATTCATAAGTCGAGCGGGCCGGATGGTATCCCCCAATTGTGCTGCGTACTTGTGCTCCTGAGTTGGCTCCGGTCTTAACGCGCCTTTTCCGGTACCTGTACTCGCTCGGCACTGTCCCGAAGTGTTGGAAGACCGCTTTGATACATCCGATCCCTAAAAAAGGCGATCGCTCTGATCCGTCCAACTATCGCCCAATAGCTATAACCTCCTTGTTCTCCAAAATAATGGAATCCATTGTTAATTGCCAGCTCTTGAGGTATCTAGAGGGCCACCAGCTGATTAGCGATTATCAGTACGGCTTTCGTCGTGGTCGTTCGGCTGGTGACCTTCTTGTATACCTTACACATAGATGGGCAGAGGCAATTGAGTCCAAGGGGGAGGCGCTAGCGGTTAGTTTGGACATAGCGAAAGCTCTCGAAGCTTCCAGCCTATGGGCTTCCCGAGAAATTACGCAATTGGATCTCCAGCTTTCTTTCCGATCGGAGCATCAAGGTCGTCATCGACGGAGCATGTTCCGACCTAAAACCCGTAAACGCTGGGGTCCCACAAGGCTGTGTTCTATCCCCGACCCTATTTCTTCTGCATATCAATGATATGTTGAAACTTAGCAACATTCATTGCTATGCGGATGACAGTACTGGGGATACTTTTTACATTGGCCGGGCAGGTATTTCTCGGGCAGTTGTTGATGAGTACCGGAACAAACTTGTGTCTGAAGTTGAAACTCTACTTCGTGGAGTCTCAGATTGGGGCAGACAAAACCTAGTCCAATTTAACCCCAAGAAGACACAAGTTTGCGCGTTTTCCGCTAAAAAAACACCCTTTGTCGCTACTCCTCTTTTCGAAAACACTCTTCTTAAAGCCACAGCCAGCATTGGAATACTTGGCGTTGACTTACTTGATTATCTTCTTCTACACTACCAAATGGTGTAACGCCTGCAGAAAGATGGTATGGCTTTACCTAAACCTGATTTAGGTAAAATTAAAATATTTGGTTGTCCCGTATATTCATTGATCCATGAAGAGGATAGGAATGGAAAACTGTGTGAGCGTTCTAAGAGACTATTTATGGCAGGTTCCTGTGACAATGGATTCCAAATAAGAGGAAAATTGAATTTGCTAGGCATTCCTAGCAAATTCAATTTCCTCATATTCGATGAATCTAGGACAACCGATTTGACAAATGAAGGCCAATTTACTAATCCTGATACTGTCCAAATTCCTTGCGTTGACCACGAGACCAAATCTGAAGTCTTTCAGTCTTCAGATGTTGAGCAAGTTTTGCAGCCTATGTTGGAGGATGAAGATTTGCCTATTTTAGAGGATGAAGATTTTCAATCAGACAAGAATATTGACACTGTTAAGAAGACCTCAAGAATTAGAAAGCCTCCAAAGTATTTGAAAGATTTTGTAACCAATTTTGCCTTTGATGCATTAGCTCTATCTGCATCATCAGATCTAGATGTTCCCAATAATTATACTGATGCAGTTCAGGATGCGGGTTGGAGACAAGCAATTGACGAAGAATTAAAGTCATTGGAAGACAACGGTACTTGGGAAGTGGTGGATAGTCCTATAGATGCCACAGTAATCGATAGTCGGTGGGTTTTCACTACAAAGATCGTCGATGGAGCAGTTATGAAGAAAGCGAGGCTTGTTGCAAGGGGCTACCAACAACCCTCACTTGAGGATGAGAACATCTTTGCACCTGTTGCGCGTCTTACCACGCTGCGGGTCCTGCTGGCTGTTGCTGTTGAACGAGGTTTGCATATCCATCAACTTGATGTTAAATCAGCTTTTTTAAAAAGTAATTTGCCAGTGTCTGTGTTTATGAAGCCTCCTGAGGGGCTTAAGTGTGATGATGGAAAAGTGTTAAAATTAATAAAAGCTTTATATGGTCTTAAACAAAGCCCAAAAGCATGGAATGATTTTGTCAATGATATATTTATAAAAATCGGGTTTTCTAGATCTCAAAAAGATCCTTGTTTATATGTTAAGGGATCAACATTTATTTTAGTATGGGTTGATGATTTCCTTTTAGTATCTGAGTCATTAAATGATCTTCAAAGTATTAAATCTCATTTAATTGCTATTATTGATGTTAGGGATCTAACTTCATCGGAAGAATTGCAATTCTTGTGTATAAAAATTCTTACGAATGAAAATGGAAGTACATGCTTAGTCAAACCGCTCTTATTCAGAAAATTATTTCGAGATTTAATATGACCGACTGTAAGCCTAGTAAGATACCAATTCAACCTAAACTCAATTTGACCAAATCTAATAACATTGATGTAAATTTGAAAGTATAATAGTATAATAAAGAATTAGTTGGTAGTTTGATGTATCTTATGTTATGCACCCGCCCTGATTTATGTTTTTGCGTTTCTTATTTTGGAAGATTCCAAAACTGTTAGGATGTAAGCCATTGGAAGCATTTGAAACATATAATTAGATACTTGAAATATACTTTATGTATAGGTTTAAATTTTAAAAAATCTGAGAATAACACTTTTGATATTTATGTTTTTGTAGATGCTGATTATGCATTTGATGTTAACGATAGGAAAAGCACTTCAGGTTATGTAATTAAAATTAATGATAATGCAATTTGTTGGTGTTCTAAGAAGCAATCCTTGGTTGCTCTTAGTTCTTGTGAAGCAGAATATTATGCTCTTGCTTTCAGTTTATTGGAATCTATTTTTCTGGAAGAGTTGGTATTTGAATGGTTTAATATTAGAAATTCTATTACAGTTTTTGAAGACAATCAAGGAACCATAAAGATTGCCCAAACTATGGAAACTAAAAGATCTAAACATTTTGATGTTAGATTTCATTTTGTTAAAGATTTAATTTCTAAGGGTAGAATAAAATTAATCTATATAGAGTCTTGTGAACAGTTGGGAGACTTAGGGCCGATTCGACCAAACAAGAGTAAAACTTAATCTTAGAATAAATCGTCAGTTAATCGAGAGTAAATCAATTTTACGTTTTACCAACTACAAATTCTAAGAATAGTGGGCTTATTCGGGAATAGCTACTATACCGCCGTTTCGCACGGAATAACAGCTATTTCTAGAATAATTTAATGGCGTCAGTCAGTCCAATCAGCTGATTTCTGTCATTTCACAAATATGTATTCTGTGTTTTAATTTCAAGTCAACGCAACGCACTAAATTTTTAGTCTGGCATTGTATAATGAAACGTTTAAACAATTTATTATTTATTTATTTATTTTTAGATTTTTTATTTTCTATAATATAAGAATGAAATTCAACTAGGCTCAACAGAAGTTCCTTTTTAGACGAAAGCCTCAAACAAACAAGAAATAAAAACTTTTTGTTGTCGTTTGACACCTGTTAAAAGCTACTTTTTCACTCTATAATACGGCAAAATCGAGTTGACATGATGTATGCTCTTACACTGTCCCGTTGTAGAGCAAAATTTATTTGCCGAGTTTTATTTTCGTTTACCATTCTCTTGCTATTCGCGTATTGTTATTCCTAGCGCAATTATACTATCGATTACGTGGACAAACGACTATGGATTTACTCGAGATTAAAATCATGGAATAGATTATTCTTGGTATAGTTACTCGTGTATAAATTGAAGTTTGGTCGAATCGACCCTTAATGACTAAGGCATTGCCTTTAAATAAGCTTGTTTATTTTTGTAATAAATTGAACCTAATAAATGTTTAACTTTGTATTTATGGTTTGTAGAATTGGGAGTGGGTGTTAGTGTTCAATTCTACAATAATTGATTGTATTTTTGTAAGGCAACACTGTTTTGATAAGAGGAAGGTTCGATGTTGTACTGCTCTGTTATTTTTGTGCTCTCGCCAATGTGTCTCTAACTTTGTGCTTTGTGTATTACATTTGATAATAAACATTTTCTTTATTTTGTACCACTGCTTAATTATTTAACCTTAATTTAATATAACTTACCAAATGAGGTTAAAAGTACCTCTATGAATAAGACTGATATTTTGTATCTGTGAAAAATATTTTATTAATTAATTTTTTATCTACACAAATACAGTATTTACAATTTTCTTAACCTATAAAGTAATAATAAAAATAATTAAAGAAGAAAAAAGAAAATCAAAACAAATTTAAAAAGTTTGGTCCCTGTGGCAGTGTACCTTTAACGCTGGCAGCATTTCCTCGCTGTTTTTTATCTTATTATTACTGTACAGTTTAATTAATATTAAATATTATTTAATTTGCGTAAGTGTTATGAAGAATGAACAATTTAATACAAAACATATATTTGATTATTTCTGACTAATGGAAGGTAGATTTAAAAAAAATATTATGATAATTAATATTAAAGGAGAAACAAAATAATGTAGGGAAAAAAATCTTGGTTATAATTAAAGGCAAAGTAATCATGAAATTGATCCTTCTATTGATCGTTATTTTTGCTGGTTAAACTTAGTTTTAGTTCTGAGCAATGTCAAAAATTCTATCACATTTATTTATTTCCAACACATAAATATACAGCATTATTCTTAACCTACATAGTAATCATTGAAATATTGAATAAATAGAACATTAAAACAGTTTAAAAAGTTTGATCCCCGTGGCAGTCTACCTTTAATGCTGGCACCCTAGCATTAATGCACCAAGCTGGTAATGCTGCTCGAGATAAGACACAAAAGTACAAGACCATTTAATTATCGCTATACCATACCTCATGTATTTATTCACGATAGCATTTACGATATCCATAGGAATTGAGTTTTTCATCATATTTTAAAATGTATGTACGAGTCTACATGAGGCAATAAACACAACAAGCTTCGGTTCTGTGAATGAGCATCAAGTATTGCGAATCGCTTGAATTACCGTGAACTGCATTGAATACGTTCAGAAATATTTTCCCTGAATTCGGGATATTCAGCGGTTTTTAAATTTATTTTTGAAAACCTAAGTCTATCAACATTACGATGGTAACCTTGAAAACATTATTTCTTGTTTACGTGAAGTAGCGGATACCAATTTACCTTTTTTTATGTCACAGGGGGCAAATGGGCAGGAGGCTCACCTGATAAACATTGCCAGATGCTTGCTTCTTTTTAGGTTAGAGCGCTCTATTCTTAAGCCTATTGGTTCGGAAACACATCGGTGGGCAGCGGATTACATATAAAATTATAAAAAGTTATGTGAATTATTTGGTCCAAGGGTTAATCCAAAGGGACGTTTCAATTTTGTCAAAATTATTACGAATAAATTTACGGATATAAATCCCAAGAGTGACATCGGGAAAAATTGAATTTCACAAATATATACGTTACTATTTAAACACGTAGTTATGTTAAAAGGACATTATTTAGTTTTATTTAAGATATTAACTTTGTATTTATGAAAGTCTAGTTGTTGTCCACGATTTTGTTTGCGTGAAATTTGCTATGCAACTATTGACATGTGCGGCTAAGCTTTAACTATCATAACTTATTTTTTCAATAAAATACGTAATAAAATACGTATTTATTTGTTTACACACCTAAAAATCTGTCAGTAGTATTAGAGCATGTTTATGAAAGACCAATAATTTAAAAAAAAATAGATTTGCATTACCTATTGGCTCATCTCAAATTGCCAATACTATCTCTATTACCTAGGCATGTAGAATTTATAAATGATTCTATATTGTATGCCCATCCTCGATAGTTAAATAACAGGTGTAGTAAAATGTGATCAGTTTTATCAAAGAAATTTTAATTTCATAAATTCTAAAGCAATATTCTTTATCTTAATATAAAATGATTTAGTTTTAAGCTTAACAATGTCTAGCAAGTTTTATCGAAACGCGATTTTCATGTTTGAAACTTGATATCTTTGAAGCTTAAATGTAATCAAATTCTTAGAATATGTTTTGGGGTTGTTATAATTTAAACAAATGAGTAAATGTTACACCGGCGTCACATTTTCGAATAAGACCCAACTTGCAGCGAATATTTTTAAAGAAAAATATGAAAAAGCCGAATTAGATTAGAGCCTTAACGGAAATCATCACGGAGACGTTAACGGAAATAAAAATTCGAAAATATTATTAATTCAACCTGAATATAGAAATGGATATGTTGAAGAAATGTTACAGTTCCAATAACCCCAAAATATATCCTTTTTATTATTAAAAAGTTAGCGTAAAATCATTAAGAATTTAAATTATTTAAGAATTGTTATTGACGTAATATTCTCATAAATGCAAGATAAGTGTTAGCTTTGTGGGTTAAACAGAACCATCATTCCTGAGGTCGTATGTTCAAACTGTGGCTGTCCATCAACTGAATTTTTACGCTCGTACAATGGGAAAAGACAGCGTGAGGAAACCGGCATTACTCTCAATTTAAATGTCGATGGCCTTTATCAGAGAGAGGAGACAGGCTGATCAATATCCCAATTTAAGAAATTATAAAAGAGGTACAAAAATATGAGGCCAAGATCATAATTTCTTTATATCTAGTAAATACACAAAGTATAAATAGCTTATTTATTTGGCCAGGGTTTGGGTATCTCTGGGTACTTTATGCGTCACAGTATTCGGTGATGTAAGGTAAAACGTGGATTTATTCGATATCCTTTTCAGAAAAACCTGAATAGGCCGTATGAGCCCAATGACCACATGTATAAAGGTTATATCGGCATGAAAGCATTCACGAGCCATTGCTATTTACTAGTAAAAGAGTTGCTGCTACTCTATTACTATTAAGTTTAAAAATGGAATATTGTTCATTTCCGGTCATGTTTAAAAGCGTTAAGATAACCATCATGCAACATAATTTTATGAGTTGATAGTAATTAAATTTTTGTTGTCCATAAATATTATTTAGGATAGAATTAAATTTAAATAAATAATCGTAAGCGGCAATAGTTAATTTGGAATCAGCCAATAATGTACGTTTCAGTTTTTCACTTCATTGTCACATTTAAGGGTATGTAGCACTTCAAATAGCTTATAAAGGAGTATATACACATATTGGTAACAGACACTGTATTTTGTTATTGTAAAACAATAAATGTAGCTTATATGAATTTCTTTGTTTATTAGGAATATGCTTTTTAATAAAAAGATATTATAAATAATCTCTCATTATTAAAAAGAGTAAATAAGATTAAAGATACTTAAAGGTACAAATAAAGCAAGTAGATACTATTTGAATGCTAGCAAATTGAAATATGAAAAAGAAAAAAAATAGATATTTAAGTGTATTTTTAAAA